AGGAAAAGATTAGTTTTGGCATCCCTGGTGTGACTTATTCTTGTTTTCTGAGAAGAGAGTTCTTAGCACCTCATTAAACAAGAGGTGGAGGTTTACTTTACTCTTCTCCTTGAATTTTATTAGTAAATCATAATCTGGCAGTAAAAAAGTTTTGATAGAATATTACAGGGATTTTTTTTTTGAAGTTGGTATGTACTATAATTCAGTTTTCAGTTTTATTTTAGTTTTGTTTCATTACTTTAACACTGTGAAGATTTTGTAGCTGTAATTTATATTTAGTGTCATAATGGAAAATTCACTGAGTTTTATCAACATGACATAGTAAATACAACCCAGACTCCCACTTCCCCTGCCCTTGGTCAGAAGGATGGGAAACCACCCTAAAAGCATTTCTTTGCAACCTAGAATATTTACGGTTATATACTTTTCCAAAGCCACCWTTGCCACAAGGTCATGTTCCACTGCAATAAGTTGCTCAATCTGTTTACAGCTGATTCTTATTTCTTCTCCTGTAATCTTAACATACATAAAGGCCTTTGAAGTTTTTAAAATAAAATTTATCCTTACCTTTTTTCACAAAGCAATATATGAGTAATTCACCCACATTTCTTCATGGGTTATTATTAGGATCAGGCAAATACTGCTAGAAATAATACAAACCTCCTCCTATAAAATATAAGATAAAATCTTTCTCTGTGCTTGCCCCTGAAACCAAATATACTTTGAGATTTTGTGAAGCCCATGCATTCTCAGTGATTTACCCTTGTTCATCTCCCTGAAGAAACAATCTTTTAAGAGGATTCATCCACAGATGCGTCTCTAGAATTCCCTTGGGAAAGCTAAGCCACTTGTGGGAGCTCACTTAGAATTTAAAAGAAGATCAAGAGAGATGTGCATGGAATGAAAAAAATGTCAAAGTCCAGCTAACATTGACCAAAATGTACTTTCTCTTATTGGCTTCCTGGGTCTTTAAGGAAACGAGAGACCAAGAACTAAAACTTTCTTCTCGTATATCTTGCTGATAGAAAGGTGACAAGAAAAGGGGCACCTTTTTTTAACTTTGTTTTACGTTCTGGTTTGGATTTTTTTAGTTGTGCAATGTTTCATAAATTGGTGTCCTTGTCCCTACTCCCTTTGTTTCAACAAAAGATTTAATAGGAAACTTTCTTGAAATCTGCCCTGAAAGAAATGTAACATAAAAAAAAAGTATCACTTTTGGTGTAAAGACAACTGAAAGAAAATGTTTTGATGTAGTTCATAGGAAATATAGGCACACTCATGTCTATTTATATTATTATATTATTATATTATTATATTATTATATTATTATATTATTGTATTATTGTATTATTGTATTATTATAACCATTTTTTTCACTTGGAGACCTTCAAAGTTCACAAAATATTAACATATCTTCAAATTCACATAAACCTTTAAATTTTTAAATTGAACAATAACTAACTTAGCATCATGGTCAGCTTGCCCTGTGCTTCTTATTAAAACCTGTGCCCTGTGCATCTCTYGTATGCGGAGAGACTGAGTGAGCTGGGCCTGTTTTCTCTGGAGAAGAGAAGGCTGAGAGGGGATATGATTAACATGTATAAGTTCAGGAAGGGGGAATGTAGGGAAGAAGGGGACAAGCTGTTTTCATTAGTGGCCAGCGATAGGACGAGGGGTAGTGGCCATAAGCTGAAACACAGGAGGTTCCATCTCCAGGTGAGGAGGAACTTCTTTCCTGTGAGGGTGACAGAGCAGTGGAACAGGCTGCCCAGGGAGGCTGTGGAGTCTCCTTTCTCTGGAGGTCTTCMAAACCCGCTGGATGCTGCCCTGTGCCACCTGCTCTAGGTGTGCCTGCTYGAGCAGGAAGGTTGGACTAGATGATCTCTAGAGGTCCCTTCCAACCTTGAATATTCTGTGAAAACATCTAAAAACATTTTTAAGAGAAATTTTCTGTGATACAAACCAAAACAAAGTATATTTCTTCAGAATATTTTTTATATTTTGCCTAGACCAAAATACTGTCCTTCTAAGAGCTACAAGCAAGAAAACCCCATGACATTTCTTTGTCCATGAGAAATGTCCCTGACATTTTGGTCATAAGAATACTGTGTAAGCTCCCCAGAGCTGCTGTGCTCAGCCAGCAGCAATACTTCATGGAAGTCTGTCCTTGAGAACTCTTAAAAATTAAGATTTAAAAACTGAGATTCATATATTTTCTTGATTTCATATTGAAACCTCTCCAGCAGCTCCTGTAGTAATATTCATAATGTTTGTAGGAGAAACAAGAAAGCTGGGATAGCAAAGCTTTGTGCCTACAATATGACTGTAGATTTGAAGGTTTTATGAGTGGGAGCGATCATTTTATCATTTTGACTGACCTCTCATAAATCTCAGGCCAATACATTTCACCTGTTCTAAAACATTGAGCCTAACAGCTTTTGTTTCGTTAAATTGTATAGATTATTTTGTGTTAACGTACTGCACATGTTCATACAGAACAGTGCAAGTGAATAACAAGGGCTTGGGCTAGAGTGTGGGTTAGGGTAAGTAACCTTACATGCCAGAGATAGTAAGCCAAATGTRTTTTTGCAAGGGAGAAATTCAGCTTAGGAGGATGTGCTGAATTTTTTGAAGGGCTCAATCTTATGAGAAGGAAATTCAGCATAAATTCCAGTCTGAGAGCTGACCTAAAAATTCAGTAGGYAGAGATTAGTTAAGTAGAACAGTAGTTGGCCACAAGGTCTGCATACTGTCAATATTGTCATGACTGAATTATGATTGCTTTGCTCTTCAGGCATCTTTCAGTCTGTCAGAGACATTCTGGGTAGGTTTAACTTAGTATCAGGGAGATTGCGATGGTAGAAGGGGAAAGGGAAGAGGGAAGATCTCAGTCAGACAGAGGCTGTCAAGGTAAGAAAATCATTTTTGGAGTTTATTGGAATAGCACTTGCTCATCCTCACTTATCTGAACCATGTATTTGACTGAGTTGAGCCCTAGTTTGTTCCACCTACTTGTTCTAATGCTAAAGTGAGTTGGTGCAAAGTAGTGCCTATCCTTAACTTAAGCTGAAGGCTACTCCTACAGAAAAAAAAATAGATAAAAAAAATCTCATTGATTTCTACATTAACCTTAAGCTTTTCTCTAATCTTGAACTAAGACTAAATCACCTAAACCAAATCATCTGAACTTGTATCAGAATACTTTCTAATACCAGTTTCAGCAGTTAGGATTTAGGCAGATTCCATGACTCACAAAGTGCAAAGACTCATGTATTGTATACAAGTCATTCTGAACTTCTGAGGAAGAAAGCACTTTGYAGCAGACCACACCACGAAATCCTCTTTGCATGTGGAAAAGTTGCTAAATTATGCAGGAATCTTTTCATGTATGTTGTKTATATGTCTATCCGTGTGTGCATGAAAACATGCTTTGGTTTCTCTATCAAAGTCAGGTGTTGTTTTCACTGGGTATCCCACTGAGTATGGCTTAAAAACATTTAAAAATAATGCCTGCCCAAATTGCACTTCTATTAGAAAGGGATTGTCTACTATCTCATAATTTCTCATAGCCAACAGTAAGTGCTTTATGCTTTGCTTCAAAAAAATCAAAATCCACTCTTCACAACATAGAAGTACTGTGAAATATTAGATCCAAATTTTAAAAGGTGCTTAGGTACTAAATGCCAAGTGATTTCAATTTCAGTGGGATTTTTAGGCACATGTTAACTGTATCTAAAAAAATGAGTATATCCTAATGTTCAGATCTGACTGTGCCTGTAAGACTGGGGCTCCGTTGTCTGCTCATACATCCACACAGCCAAGTTGGTGGGATTTCCATAGATATAGATATAGACTAGAAAGGAGCCCCAGGACTGTCCAGTCAAGACGATAGCTAACACAGTCATCAAGGCAAAGAGATGCTTCACATCTAGAAGGAGTTTCTATGGGTCTGGTACTTACCAAAGCAAAACATGAATGGGGTCTGTTTTGGAGAGCACTTTGGTTATTAACAGAGTATTAATACCAGAGTCTAAGACTGAGGGATAAAGAAAGCATGTGAAAATTATTGTTTGTCATGTTAAAACTGCAGGTCTATTCTGCTTAAAGATAAGTAGATGATGGAAATTTAAAAAAATAACTCATGATAGATTAGGCTCAAATATGATGTTCAAAGGTATAGTGTAATTGCAGTTTATGACACGGCTTTTGCTGCACAAACATATGTGTCTGTTCATAGAAAATAAATATATATGATGTATGAGAAAACCTTTATGTTGCTTTAAATTTATTTTCAATTGCTTAGCTTATACTTGTTAGTCACTTAGAAACCTACACAAAATTAATTTGGAGACATGCACCAGCATAAATTGGCAAAAACATATTTTTAAATTCCAAAGCATACAAGGACTATATCTTTCTGCTTACAACTTTCAATGACATTTTCAAAACATAACAAGGCAAACATAGTTTATACCTATGTGCTATGGCAGAAATCCAATATTCATCTGCTGTTCATATTGCAAGAAAATGAGATCATTAGGGTCAGAAAGAACAGCTGCTTTAATTATAACATCCTGATATATCATATCAAAGTTTTCATCATCTCACACAAACTCTAAGAACATATCCCCAGGGATTATTTCTATCAACCTGCTTTTTTTTCAAGAAGATTATACAAGTACACTCCAGAGCACTGGCGGTTTGAATGTTGCAAAGCTGTGTGGAAATAATTCTACCCCAAGCTCGATAACGCTGTGGCAGCTGTTATTAATCTAAATTATACAATCCTGAGTCCCTTTTCTGCTGTGGTGGCAGTGGTAGGGGAAGATGTTTTGGCAGTCAGGAAGCAACTCTGCGGAGCCAGGTTTCTGCAGTGCTGCTGCCACATGCTCCCTGCCCCAGGGCCCTCAGCATCCGCATCTGCAGCTGGGGAAGCTGGTTGGTACAGGGCACCCACAGGTATCTCTCCTTAAGGGAATGTCTGCTTTTTGTGTTAACAGATGCCATGCTTCTGGTAGCCGAGAGATTAGAAGGGCCATTCAACATTGAATCAGTCATGGATCCTATTGATGTCAAGATTTCTGAAGCCATCATGAACATGCAAGAAAACAGCATGCAGGTGTCAGCAAAGGTACTGTGTGAGTCGCTCCTTCTCTCTTCCCGAGTGTCACAAGCAGGGGGGAAAGCATCTCCTTCAATTTTCTCTCCAGGTTTTAAGAAAGAGTGGCTAAACCACTAAAAGCGTATATCTGTTTGTTCAGCAGTTCACTAGGGTGTCTTTGAATCCTTTCTCTAGTTAAATAAGCCCAGAAGTTTTCAAACAGAAGCATCAGAGAGAAAAGTACTGTTTAGTAAATTGCAAATTAATAGCTGCGAGTGGTTAGAGAAAACAGAGACTGCTGAAAATTGCTGGTAGCTCAGTAAGCAACGTCCTGCAGAGTACATTTGATAACTTCTGCTCGTGTCTCATCTGTGATTCTCCGTATTAACATCCAAACACATTTTGATCTGTCTAGGTCAGACTGCAGTACAATGAGCTTGAGCTGAACACATGAAGTGTTCTGCTTAACCTCCTCTAATAACCACTCAAGGGAAATATCATTATTTTGCACAGTCTGTGATTACTAGACCTTGGTTTGATGGAGTTTTATGTGGATTCTGACATGAAAATAAACAAAGTTAATGATGCTATCTTCTTCCTGTTTTTAGCATGTGCATAAACACAGGTCACCACTGTCTCCAAACCCCATATTAATAAGGTTCTTGGAATTCAGTAACAGGTGCTGTTGAGCCACTAGTTAACAATTAATGTATTTTCCTTAATATTCATCAGCACACTGCAGTTCAGAATCTGAAATCAACTGTTTGCCAGGTTCTCCACATTAAGCGTTTCCACCTCCYATTGATCTCCCAGTAGTCAGTTAAGTTCTGGCTAGACTGCTCTCCAAGTCAGTGAATTTCCACTGCTTGGAAGTAAACAACTGTAAGCAAGAAAAAAAAAAACAGAGATAAAAGACAGAAGGCTGAAATTAATATTCTTCCTGCCAGTCTCAAATTAGATGCTCTTTATGGGTCCAGTGCTGCAGGATACTAAGAGTTTCCTTTAAGAGGCTCTTTGCTCTTCACATACATGAAGTTACTTAGGTTTTAAAAGCCTATGTCTACATCCTACTAGATAGGCAGAAGCATCAAGGCATTTATCAACCAAAGTCAGTTGAATACTTTGGAGCTACCTTAGCAAATCCAGCTCCTACCTCAAAGAAAAATACATTTTCACTAAAAATTCATGCAAGGCTCAGGTTTATTTCATTCTCCTTCTTATTTGCTTCATTCTCACAGTTTTTCCATTAGTCAGGAAACTGCGTTTCCTGCYAGAATCCAATGACATCACCTTGGAATAAGCTCGTCTCACTACTCATTTGCAATAGAGCAGACTGTTTGTCCTGTCCCTGAGAAATATTGTATTTGCTCTCAAGGTTAATAAATCACAAAAATTCCATTTGCACTTCAAAGTTTTTCTCTAAGAGAAATCTTAGGAAGCATTTTTTAAAATCTTAAGAAAAAGAAACCAAACTACAGCAGTGAAATTTATTTTACTCTGTTTTCATAGATAACAGAGCTATCTATGCATGGGGGCTTTTGTATTTTATATGTAGACCATTTTTTCTCCTGAAAAGTGATTTCCTTGTTTTCCCAGGTTATATCCATCTTTTTCAGGTCTTAAGTCATGAAAGTGTTCTAATGTGAAGGAAAAAAAAAAAGAAAAAGAAAAAAAGGCAAACTCTTTGAATCTACTGCTGTGATATTCTATGTCATATCAGATCTATAAAGATGATACATGAGCAGACTTTGAATCAATTATCTGTAGTCTATTTTTTTCACCTTATACATACTTGACCGCTTAGATCAAGCTTCAGTAAGAATGACAGATACCTTGCCAGATGTAATGGGGTGCATGGAATGCAATTGCAGACCTAATCTAGGAAAAGATCCACACTTGTCAGTCATTTAAATACTCCAGTCAAAAAGCTCCAGGTGGAACGTTAAAATCACACCATTTTATTTTCTTCTGATAATTTCTTTTTTTTTTTACATTCAGCTTTATCCTGCTGAAAATGCGGTAATTAGGAACCACAACCATTTTTTTTTCACAAGTCAGGCAGTGTGTTTGCACATAGGAAAATGCCAGTGTACTGTCTTGTCTACAGCACCTGCAGGCACACCAATTGCACTTCACAGCTGACATGCAGCTACCTTCACTAGAAAATCAGGCTGATATCTAGCTTGAATTGAACACTATGCTCAATAGAATTTAGGGCCATTTAGCTATTGCTGTATGTTATTGTTCCTCTCTTAAAAATGAATGGAAAAAATAACAASAAACAGTTTCTTTACCAAGGACCCCTCACCAAATCCATGTTTTTTTTTGCCAGCAGAAGACCTGGAGATCATTTAATTCAAATCCATCCCTCTTCTCTTTTGAATACTTCTATAAGATATCCCTATTCCAGAGGTCATCACCATTAAATTTCACTGCCATTTTATGTTTATATTGCAGGGTGATATTTTCTATTATGCCAACTGCCATTGTATTTTGAAATCTATTTGGGAAAAACGTATTTTTGGGGGCATAACACAGTTACTGTACATTACTGTGCATATGGAAGCAAAATTAAGTGGATAATAACATACAATTTTCAACAAAAAAGTAGGAAAAAAGTAAGGATGCATGCTTTTATTTGAATGATGAGGTCTTCAATTTTAGACATAAACAGAAAAATATATAATGAACATCCTAAATTTCCATTTTTATGGCTTATCTTTTCATTCTTCACTTAATGCAACCCTGATGATTTTGTCCAATTTCTTTTTTCTGCTAAATATGCATATCCTTTTCAGCACTATTTTTCTGAGAAATGGACTTCATAGTTATGGCAATACTGATAAATAAAAGAGGGACAAGRGCCTGACCTTGAAGCCAAGTGGCACAGCCTGATTCATGCTTATGCTGCTGAACTAAGGAGCAGTTTCATTCTGGAACAAGCGAGTTGGGGCAGTCCAAGGAATATCCAATGACATAGCAATTAATCTGTGTGGACAGTCAGGGCTTATTGCTCAAGTTCACGCCATATCTTTCATTTCTTTAATAGAGGCAAGCTCTCTAACTTCCACTCTTGATGGGTGCACATTAATATCGATACCGAGTTATAGTGTCAGTGTCCTCTTCTGTCTTTGTACTTCCAAGCAAGGACACACAGGCTCAGCTCTATCCCAGTTCCAATCACTCCATAAAATGGAGCATCTCTGTTCCATCAGCAATCAGCCATTGGCATTTATTATTTGCTGATTCTTTTAGCAAAGTTCAAAAGTTCACATTAACTAGGTACTAGCATTATACTAAGATCTTCTAATGCATTGCAATCCTTTTTTTTTTTTTTTCTTGGCATTTTCTTCAATCTGTATTCATCACCAATGTGCTTAAAATGTCTGACCATAAACCTCTAAACTGCAAAAACTGCTCATCTTGTGAGGCTGTCATGTCCCTTAATGGCAACTATGTGAGGTCCTTATTCTGCCTCAAGAAGAGTCACATTCCTGACAACTGCAATATCTGCAGATGACTTCCCGATGTCCAGCAAGGAGCAATGGTCTAGTAAGTCATGACCAAAAAAAAAAAAAAAAAAAAAAAAAAAAGACTAAAGATCTAAAGATCATCAAAATCAGTCTCTATAGGTAACATCTGCTAACAGCTGGTGACACCTGCATCCATTCTGATCCATTCTGACAGAGTGTCTTCTGCAAGCCAAAGCCACACACCACACATAGGGCAAAAATAGCTGGTCTAGTCTCTTTGAGATGCCAAGCAGCACTTCTGTGCTCTCTAAGAGCAGGCTTTGTGATACAGGTTGATACAGGTCCACCTCAAACTTCAGTGGAGTTGCCTGAGGGCTGCCTCTGGTAGCAATCAGGTTGCCATAGACCTACCCTGGGTTTCCCCTGATAGTGTCTGAGACACGTTAACATCTGCATTACTGAAATAATACTCTTTGTCACTTGTCAGTGACAGTCTTTGATATTTGAACATTATAGCCATAGTAATGCTTCAGGTAATAACATGCTGTGCAGCAGCTTGGTCATTTCTCGGGTAGCAGCATTATATTCTGCATATTGTTTATTCTCAAGATTTAGTCATAGCAGACATGCATCACATTCTCCTTCCCAAAGACATAATTCAGAGGGTCAAAATGCATCCATTTAATATCATTTTAATAGCTTTATCCTGGTTCAARCAAACCGGGATCTGGATCTTCAGAATCTTCCCATAAAGTTGTCAGTTTTATGTGGTGTCAGCGTCACGATTACCTTATATTTTAACAATACAAGTGATTAGTAAATGACATCTGCAGAGACTTCTTGTTTACAGGAAGTGAAGGAAAACTCTGCAAACAGCTGAAAAGTTGTTGTAACATTCATTTATCTTCAAAATGGATAAAATTCACTAACTGATTAAAACGAGCATATTTTTCCTTTATCTTTGCTCCAATACATTGGGATATTTTCTGCATTTAAAATAGGCTGGTCTACATCAACATGTTTGACTGCTCAAGTGTCTTTTGGCTACCATGCCAAGATTTCTGTTCATTCATAAAGACTGTCCCCAGAGCTGAGTCTCCCAGTAGCTGAACTTAAATCTTATTTTATCCATGCTGATGGACATCCAGTTTAACCTGGAGATATGTGTTCCTTTCTTGGCAATTACTCAGCTAAAAAAAAAAGTGAATCAATTCCATGACATAGCAGACTATCTATGCATTATTTATAAGGAAATCTTCATAAAACTATGTCTAAGTTTCTTCTTAAAATAGCCCAAGAGTTTCATATTAACAAACCTCTTCATTTATCTGTGTTCTCCACAGAGCCCCATGCAGGAAAAAATATAATGGTGCTCTTCAGGAAAAAAAAATCAATAGTATTCTAGCTGAAGATGAGAGAGTCAATGGAGCAGAGTCGTATAGAGATGCTCAGTAGGAAACCCTATACACAAGCACATGTCTAAATAACAGCATGACTCAAGACATGAAAGAGGATGAATTCTTTCTGCTGGGATTCAAAGCACTGAGTTCTTCTGAGAAAATAACTCTTTTTTTTTTCACAGTAATACTAGCTCATACTAGTAGTTTCTCTGTTTAGCGAGCTCTCTGCATTGGCTAAGTTGACTTATCTCATGKCTTGGTTCACATAAGCAACACAGAAGTCTAGTGTCATTTGAAACCCTCAAGGATATTGCATCAGAGAGTTAACTGCCAGTTCATCAGGGAATTGGTCCTCCAGACCAATGATCCTCTGTTAAGACAGTTGTAAGAGGTATCTCGGGTACCCTAGGATGCCACAAATGAATATAGCTGCTTATGTGTGGGCAAGCAGAGTTTTTGATTTCTGTCRCCTAAAATAGGAGCTTAGATATTTAGCTTAAATATAAATATACATGTCTATGCCTAAATTCAGGTATCTTAATTTCAAACTGAATACCTTCTCTAAAGTCAGGTGAGGTGAATTGCACACATTACAAATAAAGTCCCTTTTTTTTTTCAAAAAGAGTATATTTATACTGTCAATTCACAGCATGTATAATAAGAAACCTAAACATTTTCCTGTTTTTTTTAAGTATCTCTGAATATCTACTTGACAAAAATATTTCATGTACTTTTTCACAGGAAGTACTTCCCAATGCCATTTTACAGCTTTACTTTTTGTATTCTGACATATAATACATGGATGTAAATTATAAATTATCTCTTATGCACTGAAAATATAGTTACTGACTATCAGATCCTTAGYGCATTTCTTCTGTCTTGCTTAGAAAATAAATGATTTCTTCTCCCCTGACATAAAAATGGCCATTCAATCTCCACTTCTGTTATTGTCTGATTGTATGTAATTTTATTCATACAAAGTTCTTGCACTACAAATAACAAGTATTACATGACTATTTATATGTATCTAAATGCCAAATAATCTATGCTTTTTTTTTCACTATGTCACAAAAAAAGTAAAATATAAATTATTCAGAGTCAAAATTTATCTGCACGGTCATAAAAAGTAGCCTGTCAAACAGTCTGTGAAATTTAAGGGTAGCATTTCAGTGTCCTCATTTCCCTTTACCATGAGAGTTGACCCATATTTTGAATGACCGTCACTTGTGTTTATAAGCAGATACCCAAATGTTTAAAAAACTGAAGATTTCATATATATCTAAATAAACTGCTATGGTTTTTGCTCATAATCTCTCATCAAAATAAATTGGTAAATATTCTAAGCATAATTAATGTCCCACCATGTATATTTGGCCCTTAAAAATGTATCACATTATTCATAATCATGTATATAAACCCTGAATACTAACTTTGACCTAAATTTCTGAAGAAAAACTGGAAATGTTCAAACAAAAATCACCTTTCCTAGATGATTAAATTATTTTATTGTCCAATTATCCCCATGATGAAGGAGGTTAGAAACTCTTCAGAAAATGTTATACATAGTCTTCAAACACAGCAAGTAATGTTTCTCACACAAATTAAATATTCCCATGGCCACACAACAGCTGACTTGCTGGACTTTGAGCCAAAACYGACATGATGATTGAACATAAATTTAGCATGGGTCAGTTTCTTTCAGCAAATTCTGAATCATTCGGGACCTCTAAATTAATATCAGGAAACCTAGCCAAGAGCTAATTGTAATGAATCCTGAAAGCAACACAAGTCATGATATCCATACCTACTTCAAGGGACATCCTCTCAAGGCACAATATTGTCTAAAAGCAAAACATGATCCTTGGGAAAATTGGCTATCAACATGGCTAGCATCTTATTTGCCATCCAAAAAGGGAGGACACTCACAAGGCACTGCATTTGCAGCACCACAAAATTAATTTGGATAAACAGTCTGTGTCTAGATTTAGAGCTCAGTAAAAGGTATCTTACAGGATATTCTTTTCAGAGGAAGGAAAATATTGAAATGGACAAAATATCATGCTCACAAAAAAAACAAAAATAATACAAAAAGATGATTTCAGAACTGAAAAGGTTGCTATGAAAGCAAACAGCAGGACCCTTCCCTACCTCGTCAAAGCACTTAAAAAACATAATTGTGCAAATATCCTACTTCCCTTCAACACAGCAACTTCCGAAAAAGCTTCTCTGAGATTTACCCTTGCTAATGTGTCCTCAGAGTCTTTTAGTATTCACAATATATATATTACTGAACCTTTTTCCAAAGAGGAGCGTATGAAAAATGTCATAAGCCTAAATATTATTTTTCATACCTAGGAAACAAATAGAAAATAACTCTTACTATTGCCTCCTCAATATGCCTCAGCCCTCATCTAGAGAAAGGCCTACAAGGGAATAAGGAGGTAATCCACTTATAAGACTATTTCATCATTGACCTTTTCACTGAGACTACAAACAAGATTAGCTGGTGGGGATAGCTGTGGATCAGGATTATGAACGAGATATGATTTTGGATAAATACCACATCTAACAAAATCTGCAACAATTATCAACTGACTCCTACCACAAAGGGCTCTGTTTTTGTCATCTGTCCTCCTGAGCATTTAGCAATTAAAGTGCTCTCAAGTGTCAACTTCTTAGAACAATCACCATTCTAAAATGATTTAAGTATTTTTACAGTAGTATTTTTTTAAAGTATTTATATTTTATTTTATTTTTTTTAAGTATTTATTTTTTAAGTATTTTTACCTCTGTAAAATATCAGCTTCTCTTATTCTGTGATTGCCATACAACCTGCCATGTTTCTCTTAGGTTTTCCAGGGATGTGGCCAGCCTAAACCAGCACCCGCACTGAGATCTTCTCGTTCTGTCCCTGACAACTTCAATACCCGTTTCAGACCTTACAATCCAGAGGAGCGACCTACAACTGCTGCTGGCACAAGTTTGGATAGGCTGGTAAGATAAAACATGCGCTATTTTTTGAATTAGCAGAAATGGCTTGGCAATATGATAGGAAAAAAATGGTAATCTCTTGATAAAGGCTTTTTTAATGATTTCATAGGCACTCTATATAGTGTTCCACTGTTCATTAAATCTTTCCCCATTGGAAAGAGTTCAGAATTGCATTTTAGAGCAATATGACTCAGGTTTTTTGTACTAGAAATATTAGAAGAGAATAAGCTCCTTCCTTCAGGGCAAAAAACAGATAAGACAAGACAAATACTTTGCAATATGAATGTTCTTTGAAAAGCTATCACATCATATACTTTAAAAATATTCAATTATTTTTTAGCAGTCGGTTCTTTAACATAAACACATATAAAGGTACTTTCATTTACTCCACTCTTTAAATAAACTCTAAAATTAACTGCTTTGTTTGCAGAAGGTGCAAAAAAAATATTTCTATCAATCTGAGCTTCCAGTGATCATTCATCTTGCTTTATTTATTCAATCATTTCAAAAGCGTGACTTTAACAAAAGGTTGTTCTCTCTACAACACATAATTGGATTGACATCTCAGACTTCACCGTTCTTGCTATTTATACATCTATAGATTTCTAGTGGGCTAATAATTATAGCTGTTAATGTTGTCTCAGCAATTATCTGGAGATAAAGCCAATGGAAGAAATTCAAGAGCTGTAAAGCACCTGAATCAAAAGAAACTTTAGCTTGCTGAGCACATTGCTGCATGCCTGGGCAACCTCACTCCTGCTGCTCGTGCAGGGACCCAGGTCACCTCAGGGACCAGACAGTCGAGCTCGGGGCTGTAGCAAGAGGAGCACCCAGGTGGGAGTTGAGGTTTAGGACAGCTGATGCCTTCCCTCGTGCTTGCCAGCTGTGCACGTGCACCTTCCCATGCTGCAAAGCACCAGCTCTTGTGTCCCAGAACTGGCCAAGGTGAAGCGAGGCAACGCTGAAGCCAGTAGGTTTCGGTCACACTCTGGACGAGTTTGAAGATTGCATTCAGAGGAAGTGAGGGAGGAAGGGAAGAGGGGAGGAAGAGCATGGAAAGAAAAGTTGGTAGCAAACATAACTTGGATTACCTCTATAGAGTGAGATCAGTAACAGCATTTTTGCAATGAAAGAGAGAGAGATTTAGGAGGCATTCCATATTCACATAAGGAGAATATTTCCAAGCACATTAAGATCTTTTTTTAAATTGAAAATATACATAATAATGATCAACCTGACTAGAGCAGAGATGTGTGATATGCTATTGGCCTTTAAAGGCTGTAATTAATAAAAATTTGCAGCTCAGGTATTCTTTTATAACTCTTATTAACTTACAGGCACTCAAAAGGGAATTTGTCCCTATTTGATTTAACTAGGTTAGTTCATCCATTGTTCCAGGAAAAAAATGAACAGCTTAGTTTTGCTGCTGCTGCTTTAAAAAGTGTTGCAGCCAAATACCTATTCATTTTTCTTTCAGGTGATAATTACATTAGAAACTGCTCATTGCGTGTTAACAATGAGTGCTGGTTTCCGATTCATTTCCAAATGGCAGCGACTCACGTGTTATCTCCTTTTGGTTTGAGACCAGCAGTCCCTGTAGTTAGAGATGGCCACTGACCTCAGCTGGAGCGAGGAGAGGCTGCCTGTGTGGATTAGAGCAGAAGTCATTATTTCAGAGCTGTAATCCCCAAATGGTGCTTGGGAAAGGTCACTGCCTGCATCTCTCTCCAGCCTGGGTAATCTTACCCGGAAAGATATAAATGCTCCTCTCAGTAGCGCAATTCATCCCATCTACATTGCACTTCTTGTGCTGAATCATTCCCTCAATCACATATCTCTCTTCATTAACTATAGACAGAGCCTGGAGGACCAGCTTCACTTGGATCCTCCTAATCCTGGCATTGTTAATAGACTTGGAACAAATGCCACTCAAAGCAGTTTTCTAGTCTGTGCACTGATCATTTTCTACTGCTTGCTAAACATAAGCATGCAATATTAGTGTTTTGATAGTAGCATCAAGCACCAGAACACCTTCTGATTTTATAGACACAAAATATATGTGTAAGGAGTTAGCATTATCTGCTTTTATGTTACAAGATTTTTTCCTTGTGAGGCAATTGAATATTGAGTATCACACTTAGAAGCCTTTAGAAGTCTGGTTTAGTGATTTTATTCATAAAACACTGTCAAACCACTCAACTTGAAAGTGTCATAGCAAAGTCCAAACATGAACCTATGTAAATCTTTAAAGGTGAAGTGACAAATAATTCCACTTTCATCTTTTTTTGACAGCATGTCCTCAGAACAGGTATAAAGAGCACTTCCTCACATTTCAATCTTATACAAACATTGGCTAAATTTTTCAGTCCTGCTCAACTGCCCATTTATCAGTTTAATGCAACTGATCATATTTTATCAGGTATGTTGCACAAAGCAGCTCTTAAAGCCGACACTAAAATAAACCAGTGCTGAATTCTTCTGAAAATGAGCTCCTTCATGCTTAGCTGAACCTGATTGTTTAACCTCACTGCAGCATTCCAAGAGAGATGTTTTCCCAACTTACTGTCATAGCTGGCACCAATAAAGCTTAATAAACAAGAAATAACTCAAAATACTCATGTGCATTGGGAAAGAGGAGAGGAGAGGAGAGGAGAGGAGAGGAGAGGAGAGGAGAGGAGAGGAGAGG